TCCTCCTGGTCCTCATCTTCCACCTCCTCCTCCTCCTCTTCATTCTCCTTCTCCTCCTCCTCCTCCTCCTCTTCATTCTCCTCCCCCCCCCCTCCTCCTCTTCATCCTCCTTCTCCTCCTCCTCCTCCTCTTCATTCTCCTTCTCCTCCTCCTCCTCTTCATTCTCCTTCTCCTCCTCCTCCTCCTCTTCATTCTCCTTCTCCTCCTCCTCCTCTTCATTCTCCTTCTCCTCCTCCTCCTCCTCTTCATTCTCCTTCTCCTCCTCCTCCTCTTCATTCTCCTTCTCCTCCTCCTCCTCCTCTTCATTCTCCTTCTCCTCCTCCTCCTCTTCATTCTCCTTCTCCTCCTCCTCCTCTTCATTCTCCCCCCCCTCCTCCTCTTCATTCTCCTTCTCCTCCTCCTCCTCCTCTTCATTCTCCTTCTCCTCCTCCTCCTCTTCATTCTCCTTCTCCTCCTCATCCTCTTCATTCTCCTTCTCCTTCTCCTCCTCCTCTTCCTCCATCTCTTCCTCCTTAACCACTACTCCTCAATCCCCCCCCCCCCCCCATCTCCTCCTCCACGGGGCAGGGAGAAGTAAGAAGTAAGAAGAGAGATGGAGATAAAAGGGAGGGCGAGAATGGAGGAGAGAAGAGAGAGGGAAGAAAGCAGAGAGGAGAGGGAAGAGACAGGGAAGAGGGGAGAGAGGGGAATGTGATCAGGAGAAAGAGAGAAGATAGAGGAGAGGAGGAGGAGCGAGGGAAGAAGGAAGGAGTAGGAAGGAGTAGAGAATAAAATTGGGGAGAAAATGAGGGAAGGGTAGAGGAAAATAGGGGAAAGGGAAGAAGAGAAAATTTTAAAGGAGATCAGGGGAAGGTAGAATAGGAAAAAATCAGGAGAAGAAGGAAAAGGTGAAAGAAATACTCTAGCCTTGCACCACGTCAAAATCTCGCTTATCTCAGCCTCCACGAAGGACCAGCATCCGAGACCTGGTGTGTGTGCGTATGTCGGAAACCCGGTGTGTGTACGTACATCCGAGACCCGGTGTGTGTACGTACATTCGATACCCGGTGTGTGTACGTACATTCGAGACCCAGTGTGTGTGTGTGTGTACGGCAGTGAAGCGGCCGATCCCCAGCCACCTGGACCTGAGGATAAATGAGAGAGGACCGCTTGCACTCCTCCTCGTCGCCGCTGACCCCGAGAACTGGAGACGCGCCTTCAGCAGAAGTGGAAGGCGACGCGATAGATGGCGTTCGAGTTCGCCTTTCTCGTTTTCAGTTTTTTTTTTTTTTTTAATTCTATCACATTGTTTTTTCTTTTTTCTTCTTTCTTTTTTTTTGAGAGGGGTTGGCGGGAGGTGTGGAGTGTCGATATATCTTATGAATGTGTGGAAAATAGTGGAAGCCAAAAAAAGAGATGAAGATTTTTTTTTTTTCTTTTTTTTCCTCTATGTCGCGAGTTATCATTTGGGGGGGATTCCGTGCGGCAAACTCGAATGTTCTGCCAGCGTAAGAACAGGGATACGGACGCGGCCGAGGTCATAAAAGCCCACGTCTAGCATGAGCCGCACCCAGTGGTTGACGGGATGTCCAGAGATCCAAGCTTCTTCCACGTCCAACTCCCACAGCTCATCTTAGCTTGCTCTTACCCACATCCTTGGGTCTTTTTTCTTTCTCTCTCGTCGCCTTGAAATTCCATAGCTATGATTGGACTCTGTAGAAGGAGTGTACTTTGAACGCTTAGTGTGGTAATTTTTTTTTTCTAAGCCATCGAAACGGTTTTTGTCTTGGATAGGTACTTATAAAAAAAAAATCTCCGTTTAACAAAACACTTCTAATAAAGATATTGACAATAGCAATTAATCTGAAAAATGAAAGAAAACAAAAAAAGAAAAAAAATCAATTTCTCTAAAG